TTACTTATTCCAGTTTTCCTCGCAGGACCAGCCCCTTTGGGCTCTAACACACCCTGTTATGGCAAGGGTGGGTGTGTTTTTAGAATGAGTCAGCTATTCTGAGATAGTGCTTACATGGCTGACCTCACTGCTAATGAATTACCTGCTCTTCACAGAAAGTATGGTAAACAATTAAATGGTTTCATTCAGACTTTTCTGATTCAGAACAAGGAAATTATATTGTTACAGTTTCACTGTAGACAGGAGTGTCTCCATTCTCCTCAAGCACTTTCAGCCATTTGACTTCTTGCTCTTGCCTCCAGCTGAACCCGATGGCTGCAAGAGTGGCACTGACAGGAGCAAAGCCCTCTCAAGTGCCACATGGCTGGAAGCAGGTGTTTCCTACCTGCCTTACAATGGCAATGATCAAACACGGTGACTGAAAGCTGTCTTAAAAGTTACTGGGTGCAACAAAGCTCAGCAGGAGGAGAAAGGGATTCTAAATAGCTGAAAGAACCTTGAACAGGCTGAGTAAGGATGGTCTCAGACTCCAGCATTCCTGTTCAGAAGACACTTCTGAACACCACATCTCACCAGCCAGGATTTCAGGAGATGGGACAGGGTTTGGTGGGCAGAACACTAGGGAATGTGGGAGAGAGAAGTGGGGAACGGAAGGATAATTTTCCTTGGAACTAGTTAACACTCCTGACAGCTTCAAATATCTGAACTTGTTTAAAGATTTAAGAAGTTGGTGGCAACCACCAGCAGATAAAGGGGGGAGGGAATCATTTGGAGGGGAGAGGAGAGGAGAGGGGGCAAACACTTTCTAGAAAGGAGAGAATATATGGAACTCTCATGGGTAGAGGAATGGAAAAGTAGGGGAATACTGGCAGAGGGATTAGCTGCTTGCAATAAAAGTGTAGAAAGAGCAAAAAATAGTGTAGGAGTATAGATTTGACAGATGGGAGATGTTGAAAGGACAATATCCTCAAGCCAGGGAAGCACCCAAGTGTGCTAAGGTAGTGTTTATTTTAAGGTTTCCCTCTGAGTCAGTCTGTTTCTCTCTGAAATTACAGAAATTACAGAAATAGAACTGGGCTGGTTTATAATCCCTGTGGAATTGCCTGGGATTATTCATGTCTCCCCTCAGCACAGAGCTGCTCCCTGTAGTGAAACATCTTCATCCCCTCTGGTCACGACACCAACCAAGGTTTGGATGCGAGATCCTGTATGGGGGCCGTGCTCAGCTGCCCCTGTCACTGCCAGAGGGCTCCAGCCTATGCCCTTTGCACCACAGTCCACTGGAGCCCAGAGCCAGCTATTCCAGGGAATGTGAAACATGCCAGGGAATAACAAGGCTGGGTGGCTTTCATCCACACTGCAGAGTTCCTGCTGGTGTGCTTACACTGGGAAGGTTCATTTTCCTGCTAGCATGGCTGATTTTCATCCTGGAATCACGTCACTGTGCTGCTGCTGGCACGGTTGGATCTGTTCTGGAGCTGTTGCTTTGTTTTTCTGCTCGCACAGCCCCGGCAGCCGGAAGGTAAATAAATCCCTTGGCCTGAATAAGCACAGTGTAAAGTGCCTTTCTGACCAGCAGGGTCGGCCAGAGGCCCTTTTTGGCAGGGTGGAACAGCAGCAGGTGTTGGGGTGTGCTCCCTGTGGCAGTGGGGCTCAGTCAGAGCCTGGTGAGGAACTGGCAGAGCAAAGGAGGCCCCACTCAAATGGCTCGAGTTTGGTGAGTCAGGATTGAGGAAGTGCCACAGCTCACGTTGAGAAAGATTTTTCAGTGCCGTGAGCTCCTGCCGAGAGCTCCTGGGCTCTTCACATATTTCAACATCCTGCATTAATGAGGGAAGTAGACTTAACTGAAAAAATAATCCCCTAAACCATATATCATCTGCTCTGAAGCTGAAATAGCTGCTGAAAACATCCTGTTTTTTTCTACGAAGCTGCGCTGGGAGTTAAGAAATAGCCCGGTGAGGATTGTGCAATCTGAATTCAAAGCTCAATGACTCAGGGGTACAGAGTGGTGCCAACTGGAGGATCTGCCCCAGTCTCTCCTCAGCCTTGAGAGAGCCTTGGATGTAGGTACAGTAACAAAGCAGCTGGTGAATTTGTGAAGTGAGAAGCTACAAACAGAAAAAAAAAAAAAAAAAACAAACCCTCAAATCTCAAATGTTTTTATTATGAAAACTAATGCTTGAAAGTGTTATACCTTCCCTTTGAGGGCCCAAGTTTCTAATCTGGGTTAGGATTCCTCAGTCCCACACCAAGTTTATAATCAGTGCTATGAGGCCTTGTGAGGAGTGGCTGGTAATGAAAATGTGCTCACAGAGCCATTTAAGGAGTGAAAATGTCCCTGCAGAAGGACCTGAGCCACTGGGCAGAAGGACAGCAGGTAAAATTTGGCACAGGCTCACAGTTTTTCAGGGAAAACCAATCTTAATTCCAGCCATTCAGCAGCAGCCTATAAAACCAGGATTACTGTGCAGGGACAACATGCCAGAATTATTATTGAATCATAGAATCATTAAGGTTGGAAAATACCTCTAAGATTATTGAGTCCAATTGTAGCAACTCCATGAAATACTTGTCAGCTGCATGGTTGCCAGGAGTCAAAAAAGTGTTAGGGAAGGAGTAAAAAAAGAGAAAATATTTCGTGAACCCTGGCAGACCTGCACTTGGAGTGTCACATGCACTTCCCATACCCAAAGGGCAACAAGGACACTCCAAGGCAAGGCACAGTTCCATGGGAGAAGTGGCAGAATGGGCTGGTATTGTACTGGGAACAGGACAGAACTGGTTATTTGTGTGATTCCCGCACTGCAAGGTGTTGGGGATGCACAAAGGGGATTCAGGTTTCATGTAAGACTGAGCTAGTATGTAGGGATCCATGTTGGGCTACCAGCAGTGCAAAAGGCCATAGAGCCAGGAGACACTAAGGCAGTGAGGGTGCAGTGGCTCTGGGACAAGGGGAGGTGCAGCAACAACAGCGGGTGCTGCTCCTGTTCTAGGTGCACCCGCTAACAGAGGGCAGATAACGAGATGGGTCTTGGCCAACAGGCTGTTCTTACCCCAGCCCAGGCTGCAGGATCACTCATCTCCCTGCCCCAACAGTTATCAACGTGTTGCAGCCTGTTGCTGGTAGCTACGCTGGGAACTTGTCAGTGTAAAATCACCCCCGGCCATGTGCCAGCATGTTCCCTCTGCAGGGAAGCCCTGAGGGAGGTCCAGTAAGCAGTGGGGTGAGGTCTGTCTGTTCCATGCCACCCTCCCGCTCTGCCAGGCTCGCTACACACGGGGCAGACTCTGGTTCACAGCTTGCAGAGTTCATGAAGGTTGTTTGCCCATCACGCTGCCCTCAGCCTGACTGCACCACCACACTCGAGTGCTCTGAGTCTGTGAGCACCCACGCAGGCTTATGATCAGCTAAAGCACCCACCATGTTTCACCCAATTCACCCAGATTTATCAAGCCACAGCCTTAAAGAAAGTACACATTTTTTTATTCAGAGAATCACAGTAAGGTACTGAGATTCACAGCTGCTTGCCCTGGCTTAGCTTCCCAAACATTCCCGTGCAACTTTTGAAAACATCAAGTACACTTCAAGGATTTGGAAGATGCACCATCATAAGCAAAACCTGCACGAGACATTGGGATTTCTGCCAGAGCAGCAGCTCCCTGCGAGAAAAATAAGCAGGTGCACAGTGAGGGAAGCAGGGAGGGAGGGGAATGGGCAGAGAACTTTCTAGGGAGCCTTCTGCAGAAGCAACTCGATGTCATCCTGGATCTTGATGGTTTCGAAACGCCGGCTGTAGCGTTTGAAGGGCACCCCGTCGGAGCCGATGAGGAACTTCTCGAAGTTCCAGGCGATGTCGTTGCGGCAGACCGGGGACCAGATGATGTACTGCGGGTTGGTCATCAGCGAGGAGGGGTCGTCGTGCGGGAAGGGCAGCGCCTCTTTCAGGAACGTGAAGAGCGGGTGCGCGTCCTTCCCGTTCACCTCGCACTTCTCGAACATGATGAAATTGGGCTTGAACCCGTTGCCAGGACGAACGTGCTCCAGCATGGGCAGGATCTCATCGTTGGTGCCATTTTCCTGGGGAAACAAAAACAAGCCCGCCCCGCGCAAAGCCCGTGAGAGCCCGCATGGGGCGAGCGGCTCCTCCCCGTTTCCTGGCCCCGCTCCCCGGCCCCGCTCCCCGGCCCCGCTCCCCGGCCCCGCTCGCCGGCCCCGCTCCCGCCCTACCTGGTGGCCGAACTGGTTGCAGGGGAAGCCGAGCACCTGGAGCCCGCGGGGCCCGTAGCGCTGCTGCAGCTCGTTGAGCTGCAGGAAGTCGCGGGTGGTGGTGCCTCAGAGCGACGCCACGTTCACCACCAGCAGCACCTTCCCCCGCAGCGAGCCCAGCGACAGCGGCTCCGCCGCGCCGAGCGGCCGCGCCACCAGCCCCGCCAGCCCCGCCGCCAGTCCCGCCGCTCGCCCGCCCGCGCCCGCCGCCGCCATGGTCCGCACTGAGCTCCCGCCGCCGCCGCGCTCGGCCTACCCCGAGCCGCCGGGACCCGCCCCGACCACGGCCCCGAGCCGCCGGGACCCACCTCCACCACCGCCCCGAGCCGCCGGGACCCGCCTCCGCCACCGCCCCGAGCCGCCGGGACCCGCCTCCGATACCGCCCCGAACCGCCGGGACCCGCCTCCGCCACCGCCCCGAGCCGCCGGGACCCGCCTCCGCCACCGTCCCAAACCGCCGGGACCCGCCTCCGCCACCGCCCCGAGCCTCCGGGATCCGCCTCCGCCACCGCCCTGAACCGCCGGCACATCCCTGCCGAGCCCTGTCCCGCCCGCGGCATCGGCGCCCGATGGAGGAGTCCCGAGGAGAATCGAGCCAGGCGTGTCGGCTCTGAAAGGCTCGGCGGGTCTCTGAGCGGTGGAAGGCACGGAGCGGGGTGGTTTGTTACATCCACGGGTAGTGGATGTAGCATCCACAGGGAAGTGTCGCAGCTCATCGGGAACGCTGTGGAAAAAAGCAGCAAAACTCAAATTGGTCAGGGAGAGTGGTCAAATGTTGGAATGGGCTGCCCAGGGAGGTGGTGGATTCACCGTCCCTGGAGGTATTTAAGAAGAGACTGGATGTGGCACTTAGTGCCGTGGTCTAGGAAGCAAGGTGGTGTTAAGTGAAAGGTTGGATTTGATGATTTCAGAGGTCTTTTCCAACCTAGCTGATTCTGTGATTCTGTGATCCCAGGAGCTCCAGCCTTTGTGGTGACAGCCCAGCACCAGGGCTGCAGCATCCTCCGAGGGCACCGCTGCTACTGAGAGTGGCTTCAGGGAGAGGAACACCTTCAGTTTGTGTCCAAGAGGGGCCATAAATTCCCTTCTAGTATCCTTCTATAGTTTTTCCACTTCTCTGAGGCTGGTAAAGTCTACATACAGGGCTACAGCTTGCTATATCCTCACTAGATAAAAAGGAGGAGGCTCCCTCTCTAATGCCAGGGGTTGCTTTTTCCTATCCTTGACTTTTTCATTTCTTGCCTTACTGCTTCCATAAGTTGCACAAGAGTGACTGCTCTTTTTTCCCATGGATTCAAGGCAGCCCTAAGTGAACTAGGCTGTGCCCACACCGGGCAACGTGGCCCAGCCCCTCCTCCACGGGTCTTTGTGAAACACTGCCCTCCTCCAGAGCACCTCATGAAGAGGCAGGTCCGGGGGCAGGCCTCGAGGCCATGTCCATGGGTTGGACCAACAGGGACCGTGGGGAAGCACAGCTTGGCAGGGACAAAGAGCCAGGGCCTCAGCTCCAGTGCAGCTCCCAGGGGGAAGCAGGGAGCCCCTGCTGAGGCTCCTGGCAGCATCTGTGCCAAGTGAGCTCTGTTCACAACAGCCCAAGGTCAGACAGCTGCTTATCAGCCCTGGCTCCCAGCCAAGGCAGCCTGGGCCCCGCATGGGGGATGCACTCAGGCCCCCCCCCCCCGTGCTGTCTGCCTCTTTCATGCTTGGGAGCGGGGACTTGTCACAAAATGCCAGCTGTCACTAACGGGCACCACACAATGCTCTGTCTCTGGTCTGGGTGCCCAGGTGACTGCAGGGTCTGGGGGTTTTGCTTTAAGCCACTTCTGGCACCTGCCCTCACAATTGGGAGCTGGAATAGTTCCACTTCCTGGTTGTGGCAAGTTCTGGCGACTTGCCCGATTGTCTTGCATCTTTGGGGACCTGCAGTGTGTTGCAGCAGCAATGGCATGAGCCGTGACAAGTGTCCTGAGAGAGATCAGAGCTGGAAAAACGGCTGATGGATGAGCAGAAACACATGACTTCTTGAGTAAATTGACGGTTACAGTCTGCACAGACTCCTCCTCACCTGCCCCCCTGGGCACGGCAAGCCAGGGGTCCTGAAGAAGAGGAATTGCCCTTCGGGGTGACCTCTAGGGCAGGGCCACAGAGGCATCTCTGCTGCCACTTTTGACACTTGCTCAGACTGGCACCTTCAGTCCTGTCTGGACCTGGGGAGTTCATCTGAAGTAGGGAGTTTACTGCTGGGGCCCTGCCCTTTTCAGAGAAGTGCAGGTTAGGGCTTTCCTGTCCTTGATGAGCGAGGTTTAACGACACAGAATGAGTTGAACTTCCTTTTTGGCTCAGAGTGATGGCCTGTGCCTGGACACATTCTGTGGAGCCAGCTGAACTTGGAGCCAGGGGAGTGCCAGAAGCTCCCGAGGGACTAGATGGGCTCAAGGGACACCTTTTGAGGTGTGTGACAAGTGACAGTTGTCCTACGAGGTCAGAAAACTGCTGTTTAACAGCAGTGAGGAATCACAAAGGCCACAAAACCACACCTTCTGGCCTCCTGCTTACATCATCTCCCCAGTTCAGGCGATGAACTCCCTCCCCTGCTCAGGGGGCTGGCACTCCCAGCTTTTCCCCTGCCCCTTGCCAGCCTGGATCACTCTGCACAAGTGCCAAGCTCTCATTTCCCAGGTCAGGTCTGGCCGTCTGTCTCCTCAGCTCGGTTTCATCCAGAAAAAACGTGGCTTCCAGAGGTGACAGATGTGGCAGGAACCAAAAGGGAGCCAGGCTGCCAGCCCTCAAAGGCAGGAAGGCTGAGGAATCAGATGGTGTTGGAGGTCAGCAGGAGCTTAAAATTGGGATAACAGTCACTGCTGGGTGGAAGTGCATCCACAGATACACAGCTGGCTCTGAGGAGCAGGCCTGACTCCAGGCCCCTGAAGAGCTGCTCTGTAACTGTGACCACAGCAAACTGCAACCCTCTTGCCCTGCAAGACTGAAAAGCCCCGGTTTTGTTCAACTGCAACACCCCCCAAAAAAGGGAACTGCCAGTGAGTAACTAAACTTGTCAGCAGGGCAGCGAATGAAATCCTCCCAGGCAGCCCCCGCCGCAGCTGTGAACTTCCTGCTCTGTTCAGCCCAGTCACCCACGGGGGGAGGACAAACACCCAGGAGAGGAAGGAGGGAAGGGTGGGGCAGGTGACACCATCGGGCTGGCCAGAGGCTCACTCTGGGTGTCTGTGGCTGCACAGGGAGTACAAGGACCAGAGGTACTGGGCACTCCTATGGCTGGGTCTGTGTCTCCTTTGCTGCAGGAAAAGGAATCAGGAACGCTGTCCAAAAAAGAAAAAAAAGTGATGTGGGTGTTTTGTAGGCCATTATGGGATGCAGCCAGGTGCTCACTGACATGGGCTGTCATCAGCAATTGGACTCTCTCCTGCTCAGCCCAGCGTGGAGGCTCTTGGCTCAGCAGCAGCTGCTGTAAATCCCAGTGTGAGTGTGGAGATGCCCGCTGCTGTTCCCTGTCATTTCTCCCCCAGGAGCAGCACAATCTGCTCTCCAGCCTGGGTGCAGCACAGGGCCTACACTTTGAGCCCAGCCCTTGCTGCAGCGCTCCAAGGCATCCCTCATGGAACGGCCCAGCAAACACCTTGCCAACCACCTGCAAACCATCACATGCTCCCACAGCAACACTGCTCCTCCCTTCCTCCTGCACAGCCTCCTCCTGCTCCTCTAGTCTTGTGCTCAGAACCAACAAATTCAGCTCAACTGATGGCCTCTCGTCTGAGTATCAAAAGCTCCTGGGAAGCTTTGCTGCTCACTGCAGGGGCCAGGTGAGATATTCCACCTCTGCTCTGCTGCAGCACTCGGAAACCACCGTGAGCAGTGGATGGTATCACTTGCTGGGAAACAAAAATGAGTATTAAAGCACTTGCAACTGCTCAGTGAATCCTCTCACAGCTGTATCAAAAATGGTATTTCTGATTCAGGCTGTCAGATGCTGGGCCAAAAACCCAGAGTGAGGAATACAGACACCAGGATACAGGGAGCTTAGAAAACTGCCTTTATTCTATTAGTTCTTGGAAAAATGAAAATACAGAAAGAGTTTAGTTGGCTGCAGAACAGCAAGAAGTTCACAGGTTAGGAGTCTGATCACTACATGGTAACCAAACTTACACAAAAAGTTTCTTTTTTTTTTTTTTAAAGTTTTGAAACTGGGTCCAGCAATGAATTTAAGGCAACTGAACAGTTCAGAAGCTTTGAGTGTGAGCAGGCTCTTTTCTCATCCCTACATCACGTCATGGAAAAAACTCCTCCTGGGTGTGCAGACCACTCAAATCATTCGAATGGGTCAGACTCTTACAAATGAACGGGGAAGAGGATCAGCTGCTTTCCATCGGACTTTATTTTCAAATACAGTTTCTTAAAAAACCCAGAACACCTTAACGCAGAGGTTACAAGTAACAGTATTAGGAAATCCAATTATACAAAAAATACTACATCTAAGCTGGGGTAAATAGATTTATTTTTGGTAACATACATTTAAACTGGCACTAATTACACAGTAACTAAAAGGTAACTAACATGAAACCACAGAACCCTCACTTTTCCTTAGCTGAATGGGACTTGGTCATTTCAGAGTGATCACATTTTCAAACTCATGTTTGAACACCACCGAGCCATGAAAATCAGATCTTCCTAAATGTGATAGCACTGAAGCTACGCTCGATTCCATACAGCCTTGTAACTGTTGTACTCAATTAGAATAGGACGTTAGTTATAAAGTAGTTACAGACCAATCCTCTGTGTTGAGAGCTTTTTCTCTTTCTAGAGAGAAGAAAGAAGATAGAGAATTGTCTTCAATTAGCGCCTGGCATATCCTGTGAGTGCAGAAAAGGTTTGTTAGAGGAATGTTGAGGTTAACCTTGGGTGCACAGATGAATTTGATGCAGATTGTTATAAAAATCATGGTTGGCTTCTAAATACTGGTAGCAAGATGACTCGATTTTTAAATCTCTTAAGTAAATTATAGATAATGAAAAAGGCCAGTAATCATACACTAAGATTAATAAACAGCACTTCAAAATTACTCAAGTGCAGGGTGCTGCTTTGGCCATCTTCCTCTGGCCACGCTTTATAAGAGAAGGCACCCGGACTTTTTCTTGCCACGCCGGGCTTGCAAAGCAGCTCTAGTGGCCATTTCAAACACCTCCCTCACACCGTCTTTG